ATGAATGTTGATTTTATTTGGATAAATCTGCATTTATATATGTAAGTAAAATGGACAAATAAAAGTAATTCAGAATAAAATGGTTCTTCTCATATTTCCTTTCCCTTCATACCTTCTGGGTCAGGGACCCAGGTGGGAGGCAGGAGTCAAGCAAGAGGAATGAGCATGGCCTTGACTCGTCGCATCGGCCTCACTCCTGTTGCTATCTCGGTGAGGAGCTCTACGCCTGCATGGCCCAAGCGCTGAAGTTGAATTCTTGCCTCACCCTCTGCAGTCCACCAGCCACCAGCTCTGGTTGACCTCTAGCTCCCTATCTTTCTCCACGCCCCATTGCTCTTCCCACACCCCTTGCTGCTTGTCCAGGGTGCCAGCCCACGGGCACTCTCACCTGGATCACTGCAGGGCCTCTCGTCTCTTTTTTGCACATCTGTTTTGTGCTGCTCTTCCCACAGAGCTTCTGGAGTGTAAGCATTCTATGAATGCTCAACCGCTATCCGCATTACTCTTACAAACCTTTTGGACGTCATCTCTGCTGTCCCTCCTCACTGCTCCAATCTCATCTCTCTGTCCCATCCTCCTTTTTTGCTCCCTTCACATTGAATTCCTATATCTTAGGCAAATACCTGGAATGTCCCTCAACATCTGGCCCTGGCAACTACTTACCCTTCCTGTCTTATCATAGATGTGATTCTTGGAAAGCCCCGTCTTCTCCCAGATCTGGGTTATATGCTCTCCTCTGTTGACATTTGTTTTTGGAAACATCACCGCCTGCTCTTCTGTCCCCTCCACCTGCTGGACAGTAGGCTGTGTTTGGGCAGGAAGAGTCACACCTTGTTCTCAACTGTATCTCTGCACCTAGCATGCTGTCAGGACCTGAGTAGATGTGCTATAAAGGTTTGTTCATTCCCTGCAAGAGTGTTAGAGATACAAACTCTCTAAGCCCAAATGCCCTGACATTTGAGTGCATCCTCTAACTCTTGGGTTTCATTGCAGTTTAAGAATGTCATCAATGGGGCTGGGGATATAGCTCAGTTGATAGAGTGCTTACCTCCCATGCACGAGGCCCTGGGTTCAATTCCCAGCATCACCAAAAAAGGAAAAAAGAATGTCATAACTATTATGTACAACCACAAGAATTGGATCCTAATTAGGATAAGTTATACTCCATGTATGTACAGTATGTTAAAATACTCTGTACTGTCACGTATATTTGGAAAGAACAATAAAGAATGCCATCACTAGCATTCAGGGTGGCATACACCTATAATCCCAGCAACTCAGAAGGCTGAGGCAGGAGGATCAAGGCCAACTTCATCATCTTAGTGAGGCCCTAAGCAGAGCTTAGGATGTGGCTAAAAGAGCTTGGGATGTGGCTCATTAGTTAAGTACCCCAGGGTTCAATCCCCCAGTCCCCCTACCCTGAAAAAGAATGCCATAGCCCTAGAGTTATAGGAGGAGTCTGATCGGGGAGAGGATGATTCATGCACTCATACTATGAATGTTGATTTTATTTGGATAAATCTGCATTTATATATGTAAGTAAAATGGACAATAAAAAGTAATTCAGAATAAAATGGTTCTTCTCATATCCCCTTTCCCTTCATACTTCTGCTTTGGGAGGTATCGGTGACTGAAAATATTCAATTGAATATTCCATTAAGGAAGTTCTTAAAATTGTTTCTTAAGAGCAACAGTGAGGAGGGCAACATTGCCGCTCCGG